CCCGGTGGATTCGCTGCCATGAACAGTTTTGTGCGTGAGACAATTTGCCATGCGCTCGAAGCTTCGAATACTCATTATGAGAAAACCTTCAAAGCTTTGGTTGCGGAGTTGACAGCAAGCATTGCCAACAATGCTGAGAATAAACCGCTCCCGACGCTTCTCACCAGTGTGCGGGAGGAACATAGCGAAGGGTCCAAAAAACTATCCAAGTGCGAGACCGAAAAAGCTCCAGCTTTGAGGGCGAAGAAGTGCGATGGTGAAAAGAAGGCTTAGTGCTCCAGAGAGTTGCGCGGGGCCAAAAGAGCTCCAGAGATTTTAAGTTTGCCTGTTGAAGCCATGAGATGCAAGCAGACATTTCGGCATTTGGGGAAGAATGAAACAAAATTATTTTCATCTTAAAAGCAGAGAGGAACGTTTGTTTTCATCTTAAAAGCAGAGAGGAAAGCTTGTCAGCAGGGAACAACATGGCTAAGACCGCAACAATTAGGTGCAGAGCCAAAAGCGCGGTGGTGGAAAAAAATCCGTTTGCTCCTTTGGATATTCAGATTTGAAAAGGTTCGATCGCTGGCTTGGAAAGATTTTCCAGGCCTTTGATCATGTGAGCTCTTTGGTTCCTGCGACTCCCAGGTATGCTGGTGCCTTCAAGCCTGACAAGAACCGGAAACCCTTCGCATTCACCCTGCTTTTGCATTCGGGCAATTTGATCCACAGCAGGAATATGCTAGAGAGGCCAGGTCTTCAAAGCCAGGGTTCATGCGTCAATCCGCTTCAGGATGTTGTTAATCTGACGGGGAGCTGTTTAAATGGATATGGCAGGATCTCTTCAATGGATTCATCATGATTCGTCGGATATGGTGTGGAGATGAGATGCGATTACCAGAACGTGGTTGAGAAGAACGTCATCATCCATGGCCACGGCGCCTTCACTATGGAGGGACCTGGGGGCGGCGATGGTGCTGGGGTGCTTCTCTCAAGTGACTCCATGCTCTGGCAGTCCAACAGTTGAAGGCAACATGTTCTCTGATGCCGATTTCTGATGCCACTTTGATTTTTGTGTGCAATATGTTTTGACTAATGCACTTGTTCAAGTTGCAAGTCTTAATATATCCAGCTCCGGCATCTTCCCCACCACAAGTCCAATGCGTGATTTGCAGCGCCACGTTGCAAACCGGCATGTATCTCTGCACATGGCAACAGAAGATGACAACAACCATACAGCCATTCCACTGAGATCTGCAGCCGCAGATTCCAAAACACCCTTTGACTACGCATGCACGAGCACAGCCAAAGCACCTTGAAGCCACCGCTACACAGCGGCCAATAAAACATCAAAACGAACGGCCCGCAACCACTGCGCACAGCCCTTCATCGCTGGCTGCAGCCACTTTACACGAGAAAACACCGTGTTTCGCGGTCCGGCATCTTCCCCAAAACAAGTCCAATGCAACAATCCTACAGCCATTACAATGCGGTTTGCTACCGTTCATCGCCAGCTGCAGCCACTTTACACGGAAAAGCCATGTAACAATCCTGCCACACACACAAGTCAACACTTCCCTAAATCACCACTTCCCTATTCTCCACCGCAACTGCCTCGCACACAAGCCACCACTTCCCTAAGTCACCACCTCCCTACGCCATCACTTTTCTAAGCCATCACTTTCCTAAGCACCACTCGCCTCCGTGATGATCCTCCGTGTGCAGGATCCGCAGGAGCCACAAGCAGCAGCTCGGCCTTGCGGCTGTTGATGTCGCAGAAGCAACTGACTGGAGTTCTGAATCCCAGGTGCGCAGGTTAGTCGCAGTTGCTACTACGAGCAGTGTGAAAAGTTTTCGTTGATTCATTGCTGGCTTAGTGCAGACGATTGGACTAACGCTTGTGTGTAGGGATCATCTTCATTTTCTGTTTTTCCCGAGAGCGTCTGAGCGAAGGGTTCTTCTAATAGTTGTGTCTGTCATTTGCGTCTGTCATACATCTTCACATCTTCACATCTTCACCCTCACACACTCACATCTTCACTCACATCTTCACATACTCACATCTTCTCTTTCTCTCTCTCACACACATCTTCACACTCACACACTCACATCTTCATTCACATCTTCACATCTTCACATACTCACATCTTCTCTCTCTCTCTCTCCTCTTTCCTCTCTCCTTTCTCCTTTCTCTCTCTCTTTTCTCTCTTTCGCCTTTCTTTTCTTTCTCTCTTTAGGCGGAGGGTGGTGCCGGCGAGGAGTCACGAAACGTCAACCCTTTCGCACAAAACGAGGGTCGATGCGCAAAAACTGAGGTAAAATTGCGATTTCACTTGTCCCGGAGCAACCTTTTCGCACGAAACGAGGGTCGATCGCGAAAAACTGAGGTAAAATTGCGATCTTACTTCTTCCGATTTGTCCCGGAGCAACCCTTTCGCACGAAATGAGGGTCGATCGCAAAAAAATCAGAGGTAAAATTGCGATTTTACTTCTTCCGATTTGTCCCGGAGCAACCCTTTCGCACGAAATGAGGGTCGACCGCCAAAAACTGATGTAAAATTGCGATTTTACTTCTTCCGATTTGTCCCGTAACCCTTTCGCACGAAATGAGGGTCGATCGCCAAAAACTGAGGTAAAATTGCGATTTTACTTCTTCCGATTTGTCCCGGAGCAACCCTTTCACACGAAATGAGGGTCGACCGCCAGAAACTGATGTAAAATTGCGATTTTACTTGTGCCGGAGCAACCCTTTCGCACGAAACGAGGCCCGATGTGCAAAAACCGAGGTAAAATTGCGATGTAACTGATGTTGGATGTACCCGGGTTTGAGTGTAAGAGTGCTTGCGTGTAAAAGCGTGTGTTTGTAACATTTTGTAACAAGGTCAGGGTTTGTGTGTAAGAGGGTTTGTGTGTAAATGGGGTCCGTGCGTCGCAGCTTCTGTGTGTCAAAGGGTTTCTGTGTAAAAGTGTCTGTGTGTAAAAGGGTTTGTGTGTAAAAGTTTCTGTCTGTGTGTAAGAGGGTCTGTGTGTAAAAGTGTTTGTGTGTAAAAGGGTGTGTGTGTGTAAAAGGGTCCGTGTGTCAAAGCGTCTGTGTGTCAGAGGGTCTGTGTGTAAAAGTGTTTGTGTGTAAAGGGGTTTGTGTGTAAAAGTGTTTGTGTGTTGTCTCTGTAAAAGTGTTTGTGTGTAAAATCAAGTGTTTGTGTGTAAAAGGGTCTGGTGATATAAGAGGGTTTGTGTGTAAAAGCATTTCTGTGTAAAGATGTTTGTGTGTTAAAGCGTTTCTGTGTAAAGATGTTTGTGTGTAAAAATCTCTGTGTGTAAAAGCGTTTGTGTGTAAAATGGTGTGTGTGCAGAAGGGTTTCTGTGTAAAAGGTGTTTCTGTGTGACAGCGGCAATGTGTGTGTAAAAGCGTTTGTGTGTAAGAGGGTCTGTGTGTAAATGGGGTCCGTGCGTCGCAGCTTCTGTGTGTCAAAGGGTTTCTGTGTAAAAGTGTCTGTGTGTAAAAGGGTTTGTGTGTAAAAGTTTCTGTCTGTGTGTAAGAGGGTCTGTGTGTAAAAGTGTTTGTGTGTAAAAGGGTGTGTGTGTGTAAAAGGGTCTGTGTGTCAAAGCGTCTGTGTGTCAGAGGGTCTGTGTGTAAAAGTGTTTGTGTGTAGAAGGGTCTGTGTGTAAAAGTGTTTGTGTGTTGTCTCTGTAAAAGTGTTTGTGTGTAAAATCAAGTGTTTGTGTGTAAAAGGGTCTGGTGATATAAGAGGGTTTGTGTGTAAAAGCATTTCTGTGTAAAGATGTTTGTGTGTTAAAGCGTTTCTGTGTAAAGATGTTTGTATGTAAAGATCTCTGTGTGTAAAAGTGTTTTTGTGTAAAAGCGTCTGTGTGTAAAAGCGTCTGTGTGTAAAAGGGTTTGTGTGTGAAAGGGTGTGTGCTTCTTGGCAAACGCGACTGTGTGTAAAAGTGTCTGCGTGTAAAGACGTCTGCGTTTAAAAGCGTTTGTGTTTCAAGTGTCTGTGTGTAAAAGAGGGTGTGTGTGAAAGCGTCCGTGTCTCAGATATCTGAACATACTCATATCTTCACACTCACACTCACATCTTCACATCTTCACATTTCACATCTCCACGCTCACACCTTCACATACTCACATACTCACATCTTCACATCTGAGCATACTCATATCTTCTCTTTCTCTCCCTCTCTCTCTCTCTCTCTCTCTCTCTCTTTCTCGCTCTCCCCTTTCTCTCTCACGTCTTTGTGTGTAAAAGGATGTGTGCGTGTGTGTGTGTGTGCATGTGTGTGTGTGTAAAAGGGTCTCCGTGTAAAAGCGTCTGTGTGTAAAAGCGTGTGTGTATGCAAAAGAGATTCTGTGTAAAAGTGTCTGTGCGTAAACGCGTCTGTGTATAAAAGTGTGTGTGAGTGTGTAAAAATGTCTGCGTGTAAAAGCGTCTGTGTGTAAAAAGGTCTGGGTGTAAAAAGGGTCTGTGTGTAAAAGGTTGTGTGTAAAAGGTTGTCTTTTGTGTGTAATGTGTGTAATCTTCGTATCTTCACATCTTCACATACTCTTCTTACAACTTTACATCGTCAAATCAGCAGCACGTCTTCACCTCTTTGCATCTAAACATGTTCACCTATTCGCATCTTCATATCTTCACATCTTCACATCTTCACACCCTCACAACTTCACATACTCATCACATCATCACCTTCACAACTTCTTTACATTTTTTTCGCACCTTATACATTCACATCTTCTTTCTTAATCATTATCATACATGTTTTTCTTTTTATGTATCTCATTTCTGTTTCATGCTATACGATCTTCACACTTACATATCCCACTATATCTCTCTTCGCTCTCGGGCCATCCGTCGTCTAGTCTGCATTTTTACATTGATATTCTTGATCAGTCAGTATGTAATCCCCAGTAACTGTTCACCCCAGAAGAATCACCAAACCCCCACAAGGTCCACTCAGTCTGGGAGGTCAAAACGGAGACCCCGCCATTATCAATGGAACACCCCCTCACTGCCCCCTATATATAGCAAATCCAACAGCAGAATTTCGAAAATGCACGAAACAAAAGCTGCGTATTAGTCAATCAGCCCTAGAAATTTGAATGATACTTATATTTGGTGCTTGATAAAGTGCAAGCACAGGCTCCAGATAGATTTTAGTAGGACCCCCGATCCTTTGAAGGTTGCCAATTTCTCTACTGAATCTTCTTCCCTCCGCAGATCACTTTGCGGCCAAGACTTGCTCAGCGCATTTGGATGTGGAAGAGATTTCTCCGGGACAAGCTCATGGGCAGGTGCTTGAGGGAGGAAACGTACAACTGACTGACCCCATTTGCAGTTCCTTGTCCCCAAAGAACACCAATCGTGAGCGTGTCTGAAATAAACGGCAAGAATGATGGGGGACACATGGGGACACCAGGGAAGAGGATTAGTGCGTGGAAGTGCTCTTGTAGTCAATATCGTAACATTGGTCTCTAAATAGCCAGAGCAAGACATGGGTTATACGTTTGGTCGGTGCTCAAGACTCTTGATTTGGCTCAACTCACTTAGACTCTCGTTGCTTGACAGTTGACAGATTCAACGGTCCCACCATTTCCTAATGTACTGCGCCGCTGTGCTGTACTTGCTTGTGGTCCCAAACGTGGGAGAGAGGTTTCATGGTCGTTTGCAGCTTGGGGAACGGGCAGCAAACAATGTGAAGGAGCTAGCTCAAAATTTGGCAAGCTCTCCAAAAGGGCTGTCTTGGAATGAAGCCAGCCAAAAAGCCATTGAAGCTCTTGCCGGCACAAACCCTCCCAAGGTGGATGATGTGAAGCAGTGGGCTCACTTCCTTTATACCAAAGAGGGAGGAGGCTACGATTGGAAATGGGCCAACAACCATGCTTTGGAAGTCCTTGCGGAAGACCATCCTCCCAAGTTGGATGATGTGAAGGAGTTGGCTCAACATTTCAACAGCACAGACACACGGTGGTACTCGGCAGGAGGCTTGGAGAGCCCCGGCGGCAGGGCCAGAAAAGCTCTTGCCGGCACAAACCCTCCCAAGGTGGATGATGTGAAGCAGTGGGCTCACTTCCTTCATACCAAAGAGGGAGGAGGCTACGATTGGAAATGTGCCAACAACCATGCTTTGGAAGTCCTTGCGGAAGACCATCCTCCCAAGTTGGATGATGTGAAGGAGTTGGCTCAACATTTCAACAGCACAGACACACGGTGGTACTCGGCAGGAGGCTTGGAGAGCCCCGGCGGCAGGGCCAGAGAAGCTCTTGCCGGCACAAACCCTCCCAAGGTGGATGATGTGAAGCAGTGGGTTCACTTCCTTCATACCAAAGAGGGAGGAGGCTACGATTGGAAATGGGCCAACATCAGAGCTTTGGAAGTCCTTGCGGAAGACCAGGCGTGGTCTCCACAGGTCTTGTTGGTTCTGCCTCAGGTTGCACAGTGTCTTGAAATCCCAATGCGAAATGTTGAGCCAGCTCCTTCACATCATCCAACTTGGGATGGTTTTCCGCAAGGACTTCCAAAGCTCTGATGTTGGCCCATTTCCAATCGTAGCCTCCTCCTTCTTTGGTATGAAGGAAGTGAGCCCACTGCTTCACATCATCCACCTTGGGAGGGTTTGTGCCGGCAAGAGCTTCTCTGGCCCTGCCGCCGGGGCTCTCCGAGCCTCCTGCCGAGTACCACCGTGTGTCTGTGCTGTTGAAATGTTGATGTTGGACTGTGATCCTCCTGCCAAGCCAAGATATGGAGATCTTACCGGGCATGTTTGCAAGGAAGGACAAAGTAAGATCCAACACGGCCAGCGCTGTAGCCCTGTTTGTAGTTTGGGCCATGCCCCGCAACCAGCCACCTTGATTTGCGACAATGGTGTAATTGGTTCCTTTGAATGTCCCGAAGATATTGACAATTGATCTTCTTGAACAAAAACAATTACTTTGTGAAGGCAAATGTCAGGCAGAGGGCAAAGGGTAGAAGAATCATCTAAGTGGCAGCCAGCTGTCCAGAGAGTACATTTCCAAGTTTGCGGTTTTCAATCCGCTCTTCTCACTTCTCTGCATCCAGCAGTGCAGCAGGCAGGCGCTGAAGAAAAAATCATAGCGCATCATGGCGCATTCTATGACCAACCCTACCCATTCCTGCCCTGGATTGGGCGAAATGGCAAGTGTACTTCAGGGGCTTTTGGCGCTAACAACATGCTTGTCACTTTCTGAGTAGCTGTGCTGCGCTGTTGCTATGCTCAGTTGTTGCCCTTGCAGCCACTTGTGCATGTTGTGCCCTGTCTGCCGTCCTGGGATCAACCTGGCAGGTGCTACTGTCGGGCAGTTGGAATTATATATATAATTAATTCTATATATGTTAAAATAATATTAAAAAAATAAAAATTTTAAAAAAATAATATGAATATATTTTTAAAAAATAAAATGTAAATTATAATATTTATTTAAAAAAATAATATAAAAATATATTTATGTAATTTAATTTTATTTTTATTAATTATTTAAAAATATAATTTTAATTAAAA